GGATTATGAGTGCGTGCGTTAAAAAAAATTTAAAGTGTACTGTAATTGTTTATGTATAAAGTTCATATTAAGTTAAAATAACGAGATTATATTGTAAATTTAAATAAGGGGATGTTTTTCTGGCAAATGTTAAAATATCGGTACAAACATTAAAGAAGAATATTGTCGTTTTATACCTATGTACAGGACAAATGAAACACAAAATTGTTTTACAAAATAACATTGGTTTAATTAAAATATGCACCCATTTTAACACGTCAGTCATATTGCTGGAGGCTCGTTTATTCCTTTCCGGTAGAATAGTGAGGCACGAGAGTGAGAAATCACAAATGTAATGTCTTGAAATTCATTTTCGAGAGCTTCACGAGAACTAAATTATTTTCCTTGTAGATAATTGTCGAAATGGTAGAAAAATATGGTAATCGATAGGGACTAAATTCAGAGAGTATGTTTTCAATATGAGCAGTTGCTGTAAGTTAAAGGTTTGTTGGGCAGTATTCGTTCTGTCGTTATTGCGTAGAAGTTGCGGTAAAGATAGGTGGAGTAGTTATCACGTGGTTGTATATCTACGAACCTTGGCATCACCTTTGTATTTCTTTACATTACGTTAGACCTAAGACCTGTTACACACGGCGACTTTTAGCAGCTATGTAAACGCGATGCCAACACGATGCAAACGCGATGCAATTTAATTTCACTTTTAAATTTACAATTAATGAAACAAAATAATGTGCACAAACCTATACCAATTTTTCAAAGATAATTATTCAACATAAGAGACTGTATCGATGCGGTCGGGCGTTTATATCGATGGCGTTTTATCGTTTGTATCGATGCAGTCGCGCGTTTGCATCGATGCAATACCTATAAATCGCAATTGTAGCGACGCAATCGCGCATTTCACGAACGCGCATTTGCATCACTGCTACAAGTCGCCGTGTGTAACCCCTCTTATGTCGTGAATTATTCAGCTTTTCCGCCATCAAATAATTATGAACAACGTGTAGGTAATTTTTTTTACATTGTTTGGGTTTGTCACCATGATTCAACCACTGCGGCGATCGTTAATAGTCGATCCTTAGATAAATATAGAGACTAATGGATCAGTGCTTCGGGTACATTCAACTATGTTGTTAATTACTCCGTAGTTTGCAGTGGATCCATTTCAGCATTAGCCCGCTACGCGTAATCATTCCATTCACCCTAAGCTCTGATCCAATGTAAAATCGAGCAAACCAAAAACGCAACGTGCGTTCATTAGTTGTATCCGCTTCATGTACGTCGTTAATGTTTCGACTCGTTTGCATTGCATTAGTGCTACGTCGGGACTCGTATTAAAAATTATACGAATTACAGTCTATTTTAGACTTCAAAGCGAATCTAAAAAAAAACCACAGTGGAAATAATTGAAAAACGATAAAATGTTAAATCTAGAAAGTTTCTAATTCCAATTTTGTACTAAAAATACTTTATTTAATTTCAGAGGGGCCGGAACTTCAGAAAAGCAGTCTCATATTTTAAGCCCTAATATTTGAAATGACGTTATATCGGTTTAAACGAGTTTTTGAACAATTAATAATTTTTCGCTATTTCTGTAGAATTTGAATGATTTTCGGAGGCATGGACTTTAGCAAATAGATCGTATTAACTCGTAAATGAAAAAGTATTCCTACTTCAGTTTTGATTGGTGTTCTGATGGAAAACCAAACAATACGAAATCATTATGGTTTCATTCACGTTTTATTGTATGTAGTTGTTCATTGATTTACTTCCGTCCAAATTTTACCAAAAAAATAACTACTTCCGATGTTCCTGGTGATCGAAACTTTTTCAAACTATTCGCGGAAAGGACTTTTGAATTCAATCGGACATTTTCATTGAGAACCTAAACTTTTTTTCGGGAATTTAAATTGCAGACTTTTTTATCATTAATGCGTAAACAAGTCGAAATATAATCTTAAGGTAGACGTTGAGGAAAACACGCTCGTTACTAATTTCGTCAGGTGTTATTTGATAATTGGCCTATTCACTCTTCGTTATAAATTTGTTCAGCCGGCAGTGGAATAATAACGTCGGTTGATTACAATTAATTCGTTGATCCGTTTTTCTCAAAAGTACAAAAGATGAATCAGGCTAAAATGGATTTTAAATGTCACGCCGCTAATTCACGGAGAGCGTTTGCGCTGGTTCACTTTCCAAAGTGTTCCAAGCAACTCATACAAGAAATCTATCTTGTTAATGCGGGCTCGTTCATAAAGCATTGACCATCAACTGAACTGTTCCTTATTTTCACATGGCAACCCTACCAATGACCATCATGTCTTAAGACCACTGCAGATTGCTGATTAAACTGATTCATCGAGTACAGTACTCGATGAACTGATTATCCAATGGTTCAAATCACACTAGCTCCACCCCCTCTGCGAGCTCACCCAGTTTGAGTTGTCAAACTTACGTGACATTTGTAAACAAAGAAACATCGATCGAGACTATAAATGTAATTCGTAGTTACTTACTAAGTAGTTTCTCTAATAATTAGAAAACTACAAGTAATAATATTAGCCAAGATTATTAGATCCTTTCGTAGAGCACATCACGTAAACAACTAACAGAACTCCGTTATTCCACGTTTGAGGTGACTAAATTGGACGTTTACCTATATATCAACTAAATTATCATCAACAGAAACAAGACCTTGACTTTTTGTTATAGCGTTTTCATCTATATGATGGAACTAACTTACAATAAAACATAAGAAAGAGGAAGTAAAGTGACGAATATCTTTCTACTGGCTTACTGAAATTCGTTGCATAGGGAACTTGTTTTCTTTCTTAAAAATTAAAACAGAGTGGTGGCGGCCAATTTTGTCTTTATTTCACTGCAAAAATTATTTTGATCGAACATGAGAGGTGATCTCTTTGCCTATTCATCTTTAGGTATTTATTCATTTAGCGAGAACGGCACAAAGAAAATAATGGTTCCTTGATAGCCTCCAGTAAATACAGCGTGAAAGTTTAATGTCACTGAGAGTGAATCTCGTCAGGAAGTGCCGATGTTTTTCATGATCTTTCTTAGATATGGATAATTTAAGTTTAAGTTTTATCGATATTTATATGACGAGATTGGATCTTTTCATGGATCGGTTCACACCGAGAGTTTGAACCAAAATCTTTTCAAATTGTGCTTAGCGATCAAAGAATTTCTCGTGAAGGTGGATGTCGGCAAACGTTCCAGGCAATCTTCGAATACTTGTGAAGTCCCAATCTATATTGAGCTAGTGTGGTGGATTATAATCTTAACCATTTCTTTTGGAGAAGCATATGTTTCACTGGTTAGTGATGAAATAGTCTTATATCGCATATAGTATAATAGTTTCAACGTTGAGCTCTTACTTCCAAATTAATGTAAACGTTCTTGAATGCGTTCAAAAGGAAACAACTAAGATACTACAGGCTCTTTGTCGCAAATCCTATGAAAAGAACTACTCGCATTACGCGTATAATCTTCCAGACATACAAAATATCCTCAAAAAGAAAGGAAACTTTAAATCATCTCGTGTTCAAAAGCTGAAATTAGTTTATGCTCTTGCCAAGACACCTGCTGTACATAACTTCTTCAGCAATAGAAAGGTTCATAGCTGCGACATGCTTCCAAAAGACGTTGTTAATACTGTCTCTGCTAATGCATTCAAAAACAAGTTCGACAACTGGCTACGAAAAGTAAATTAGTGCCTGAAAGTGAATTAAACTTAAAACAAGGACAATAGTGCCAACATTGTTTGATGTAGGTAGACATATCAGCGACTACTGGTCATCTATAACACCATGTAACGCAGTTTTTCTGGGTTGTCAATCATTTTCTAATTGATTCTATCATAAAAACATGTAATAACTTTATTTCCTGCAAAAGCTTTGCGTTTGTGGAAATACCAACGAGTATTTCAAATTCTATAAATTGATGATAAAGAATCTAGAAATGTGTAAGTAGTTTTGCATGATTTTGTTAATACCACTGTGTAGCATTGCTAATAGGCAGCTGTGTAAATACCACTGTGATAGCTTCAAAAGCAAAATTTCAAAGTTAAAAAGAGCAGCTATACTCTTTTCCACATACTTGTTGCTCAATTAAACAGAAACCAATACTTTCAAACTAGAAACAGAAAACATACAAAAATTTGTACCTAATGAAATATGTAAATAATATCACAACGGTCTGAAATAAAGTCGTCAAAAGTTATATTGCACAGCGGCTTGGAATTTCGCGTTCTAAGGTTCAAAGGATTTGGAAGAGCCAAGGTCTGGAAGGAAAATATGTATGGAGCATAGGAATTATCGATTCTTTGTCAATCAAACCCTAGAAAATCGACGAAAATCTTATAAAGACTTTACAAATCACATACAAGAAGTGAGAATGTTGAGAGTTAGCAAATTGACTGTAAGGAGGAGACTTATCGCAGCAGGTATACATTCTCAAAGGCTGCTAGAGGGCTTAAATTACACCGTGGGCATCGCGTGTCTGCATGCGTAATAGAATATGGAACAAAATTGTAGAACAAAAAATGAATAATTATGAAATAAATAAATTATTATTACAATATGTGTTGCTTGTTTTTTTGCAACATAGTCGTATTAATCTCAGAAAGACAACCAGTGTGTGTGTGTGTGTGTGTGTGTGTGTGTGTGTGTGTGTGTGTGTG